AAAAATTCTGGAAAAACTCTTTAATAACAGATTAGATACATTTATTGACAAACATAAAATCCTCTCTGATTGCCAATACGGTTTTAGGTCGAACCGATCGACATCTTTGGCCATTACCGACCTGATGGAGGACATTACAAGTGCTATGGATGAGAAGAAATACACGATGGGGATATTTATTGACCTAAAAAAAGCATTTGACACAATCAATCATGAATTATTAATGGACAAGTTAGAAAAATATGGGATCAGAGGAATGGTTCTGAAATGGATTAGAAGTTATTTGACACAGAGGTGTCAATTTGTGAGGTTGGGTGAATACCAATCTGAACTACAGATGCCTAGTTGTGACAATTTGTTCAAAATGCAGCCTCCAGTCTGAAGCTAGCATTAGCTGACTTAACAGTAAATGTGTCAGTCCAGTAGAACACTCTGGTTACTGCTCAAAGCGCTAACATTACACAAAGCTCCAATTACTCGCAAATATAAATCATGTACCAACGAGGCCTGGCTCTGCGGCAGTATTGCAGTCAGTCCTGCACCAGGCATAATTTTATCAAGGCTAAACAGCCGATACATGTATTGCAAAGGCCTATGCCACAACCTTTGACCCACAGCTCACATCCAGCTAATAGGACGTCACTCGGACATCAACATACTGGCAGCTGGAAAAACCCTTCTTCTAATTTTGGCTAGGCAGCAGGCGGGGCTAATTTACAGACCGTACTTTGATAACACAGGGTGGAGAAGCTGGAATAACAACAGGAGGCTGTAGGCAGCAGAGGGTCATGGAGGGGGGGTGTAGCTGAGAGACACATTTTTTTCTGTACCACTGTCACTGGGTTTCTCAGACACTGTGGGAGATCTAAGTTAATGCACCTTTAAGATAGACTCTTCTGGCTCTGATGGCTGGCCTGATGCCATCTTCTCTTCTGTGGACAATGATTATGTTAGAGCTCCTGGTTCTGTTTCCCTCCTCTTCAGTCTTATCACTGCAATCATCATAAGTATCCTAATTTGGCAGTACTACTGTCCCCACATGCTTCATGTCTTGGAACACCTCTTGGTGGTGAATGTGCAGACACAACAACAGCAGACCGGAGTGGCATGTTGCCCTGAATTGAATGGTAATGAAATGGTCCATCTTTAGCTTCCTGCTGTTTGAGGTACAGTCATATAGTAGGGGTTTTGGATTTGAAAAGCTCCTGCACATCATAGTTAGTGTTTTTCCCTTATTCCTTTGAGTTGTTTTCACAGATTTGAACACATTCTCAATAATAAGCCAGTGAGAATAGGCTGTAGAACAAAAGAAGAGTCAGTTGTGTGAACTTCATGTAAATCTGCTTCAGTGCTGTGGCTTTAACAAGCCTGAGTGAGTCACGGGATCTCCTGGTGTTAAGGAAGAAAGCATCAGAGGAAAAGGGGGTTATTTAGACCTCCACAACACATTATGTTCATTACAGCACTCGGTCGGTTTTATTGAAATGCAATAAGAAAACCAGAATCAATGCTGCATATTTTTATTTATGTGACAAAAATGACAAGATGTTGTTAAATAGCAGAAGGTCAGTTGACAAAACACTGAATAATGAAACGGAAAGAGGTCTTTGAATGTGTGCATGGTTAAATGAAATCCATGTGGCTTGTGGAGATATACTGAGGGCACATGCACAAAAGTGATGCGTATCATGTACTTGCTTGCACCTTTCATAGTAACTGTGGCGATCTTTCATTTTTGTCGGTGGTCAGGGTGGAGGCCCCATACACTAGACTGGCACATGCTTCTTTCTGTCTCACAGTATATAGAGCTCCTCAGAAACATTGAAACATGACAAGGGACCCCAGCATGACACAAGCCAGAACCGCTGGGAACCACTGGTTTGATCTTTGCACTGTAGCGGTCCCCATACTGGAACCAGGCTGTATCTGTTGAAGGTTGTTTGCGTCACATGTGGCTCTGCAAAAGGCTGAAGTGGATAATATTGCGTTGTTGTGCTTCTTTTATGCTGCATCACATTTGGCAGAGCTGTAGGTCAGAACTGATTTTGTAGCATCAGTTTCAACTACCTCAATGTTACAACTAGGGGTGTAAGAAAATATCGATATACTTGAGTATTGTGATATTATGTTTTGTGATATTGTATCAATTCTTAAAAACGCTACAGATTTTTTTTTTTAATTAATAGTTCACATGCCAAGTAGTGCCATGCTGTTGGATGTTACAGGGACTGTGACAAACGCAAATGCAAATCCCTGTTCTGAGTGCATAAAAAAGTAAACCTTTGTACAGGAGATTTTATGGTGGTGTGTGGCGTATTTTCTGACACTTTTTCTAAAATTAAATTTTAAAAAATCACAGTATACAGTATCACCTTGTTTACAGTATTGCAATATATTGAATCATAACACCTGTATCATGATATGTATTGAATAGCCAGATTAAAGTCAATACACAGCCACGTCTCTAATATAGAAGTTTGATTAGGCAGAATGGGTGGTGTAGTGGTGCGGTGGTTAGCGCTGTCGCCTGACAGCAAGAAGGTTCCAGGTTCAAGCATGTCCTCCCTGTACCTGTGTGGGTTCTCTCTGGGTACTCCGGCTTCCTTCCTTAAAATTCTACATAGCTACTTTCCATGGCTGGTTGTAGAGATTTAAATCGTGACACCAGTTGATCCGAGCCTGGTGCATGTCCATCCGATGCTTCTCTACTCTTTGTGTCCTCTGTGCAAATTGTTTTCATTGAATGTGACCACAGTCAAATCGTTCTGATTTGTTCTCACACGGCAAACTACAGAAAGTGTGACAGGAGCTATTTAAAAATGCACTGACTTCTCTGTCAGAACCACTCGTGTTGTGTCAGTTTGTGGTTAGGTGAAGTAGTTGCTCATTTGTTATTAAAACTAACAACTAAAGCATTTTGGCCATATAGATCTTTATTATCAGTATTATACAGTAATTCCTCTTTAGTAGTCTGTACCCGACCCAAACAGTATGAGCCCTAGTTCCTGTTGACTCCAAATGACTTGTATGTAAAGCGATGGCTTTACATACTGGATTACAACAGTGTTTGGACTGTAGTTCTTTTAGCGCAGCTCCATTTCTAAAAATAAGCAGTTATTTCTTTAGTGAATTTGAGTTAGTCACCCATGCTTTAATCTTCTCTCTGTTGGGGCCACAGCGGGGTGACAAATGAAAGAAACAATAAAAAACTGCAGGGGTCACTGATTAATCTGCTGATTGTTCTCTTGATTATGTGGAAAAACACTGGGAAAATGCCGGTTGTGACTTTCCAGAGTCAAAGATGATCAGTGTAGTGTATATGATGTTATCTGACCATACTGTAGAGTGGTATACATGTACAGTATGTGCACTGACCCTTATGATATAGGCTACATGCACTGCCATCTTGAATACCTTTTGTTCTATTGTAATATTATAATGTATAATGCAAGCTGGAGACGTTGTGTTTCCGGGTTGTTTGTATGTCCGTCCATCCTATTCTTGTGAACATGATATCTCATGTCTTGAGGGAATTCCTGCAAATTTGGTAGAGACAGACATGTGGACTCAAGGATGAGCTGAGTAAATTTTGGTTCCCAAAGGCCACTGTGTCCTCACATCCGTCTCATACCCATGAACTTGACTGGTTGGCAGATGCATACAACCACAAAGTGGTAGTTCTAGTTACTTAAGTAAAGGTTTTAAATGCAGCACTGAAAAAATACATTTGAAATTGCAGCTCGTCTTTTAGAGACATGTTTTTCTGGCTCAGTGGTTCACAAATGTTCAGTTTCACTCCACAGTTGTGGCTTTGTGGCTTGCCTGGAGGAACCAAAGAAAAGGGTTGACATTTTTTAATGTAGTGTGCAGTTCACATGTTATACAAGTTAAAACACAAGTTATTTTTGAGAATTGACATTTTCTGCAAAAAAAGCACACAAGGATGCTGTGCTGTTATTATGGTGCTGTATTTTTCAGCTTATAATTAGTCTTGTCTGTGTAGCTTCAGGATCAGCTGTAGAAGTTAAATGAATTTTCACACAGAGAAAGAATTAAATTTTACATGTGTTGCACTATATCAGACTCTAATTGATTCCAGGGATTTGGCTTGCGTGACAGTCTAAGCAGCATTCTCCTCAGCTCACTGTTTGTTCAGATGCTCCATCACCTCCTGCTGTAAACCTTTGCCTCCTCCTCCTTCCCTCTCCATCCATAACCACCCACTCCTCTATCTTTAAAATGACTTGACATATTATAGACTTTTATGCTGACTGCTGAAATAAAGCTATTAACATATTGTAATGTTAATGGTCACCCTAACTTATGTTCTGCTGTTTTCTCTCCTCTCTTCTTCTCCATGTGTTTGTCTCACTGCAGGTCAGAGAAGGTGTTTTGTGCTGCAGGTCTGCTGAGAAACCTCGTGTCATCTCCTAGTCAGGAGGAGTAGTTATTGTTATTGTGACAGACAGTCTTCTCTGGAAATGTACACCTGACTTGGCATAATCTTCGCTGCCACAGGAGCTGAACCACATCCAACTACTATAGACTAAAATCTGTTTATTTTAGTAGCTGTTTGTTTTTTATATTTTGGCCCTCAAAGTGACAATATTTGGAGCACAGGAGCAATATTGAGGACATGAAGCATTGACCCTCTGGGTAAAACACTGTGCTGATTTCATCGTCATCTTTCTGGTTTTCTACCCTCACTGCTACCCTCAACTTTCCAACTCCTGTGTGCTCACAAGGTGCTTGTTGTAAAGAGCCAGTGATGACATCCCGAAACCTCTTCACCTCCGTCTTATTACACAACTTGGCCCAAGGATAACCATCGATCCCCCGAGGGGCACCTGTGGACCAACACACGCCCAGACCACAGAGCCCCGCCCCGGCTTCAGGCAGCATGGGAGACGGGAGCTGGGTATGTCTGAGCCCAGCGGAGTTTACCCAACTGCAACAGTACAGCGAATGTGAGTACCTGAGGGAATCACGTGTTCTCATGGTGGAGTGCGGCTTGAACTCAGATTCAGAAGTGTGCTTCTCTAGATTTGAACTAGGGAGTACAGGTTAGATTTGAATGTTTTTGTATGCCTTAAATTCTACCTTTGATTAGCATCTTTAAACTGACCCAGGTCTTTAGTGATATCACCCAAAATATAATTATAGAACAATTCAGACTTGGATAAAATCATCTCACTATTTATTCACACAGAAATGACAGTAAGAAATAAAACTGAAACGCAGTCTGTCTGCATTTAAAGTGGTCTTAGCTTGTTTAACTATGTATGGCATCATGAATCACTGAAAATAAACTCCTATTTTATGTAACTCCCATGGTTTATGGACATGAAGGAAACATTGTTTGATGCAGTCGCTGCTATTTACAGTTGACTAGACAGAGTACACAGGGTTTAAGTAGGTGTGCAGTCCCAGGATACATAAATTAATAATAGGTTAATTTAAATGAATGTTAAAAATATGTTTGCTTTACTTTCAAGTCAGCTCATTAATTTTAAATTGTAATTTCCTATTTTACTTTGCTGGCTGTTTTTAGTTTTCACTTCTTCGTTTTTCCACATTATCAGCTTCTCATTTCTTTGTTGCTTTAAATAATGAGCAGCATGTTTCACTTTGCCCAAGGAAAACACTATAAAGACTAAAAGGAATAAAGGAAATAATGTTTTAGATGGTTTTTATCATGTAAGTCATTCTATGATTTACTGTATGTGTTCAGCATTCTGTACCAATGATCATCAGTCTGTGTGTTCACTGCTGTGACTTCACCTTTTATTATCATTTTTTAAACCTTTTTTAATTTGGGTTTTGCAGACATATGCCACCTTTATATCCACAGGACATATATGAGCCATTTACATTGTTTCAAGAGGGAACACAGCTATGTGCTATTACAAAGAAAATGGGATCAAGCCCATTAGACTGTGAACAGGAACATCCCCACACCCCAACAAGGGACCACAGAAGCATAAAACAAACCCAAACAAACAAACAAGAAAAAGATGCACACTGGGGCACATTGCCATCTATGATCTTATTACAGTTAAAGTCAGGTTCTCTACCGTTATACACGGGTGGGTGAAAAGTAACTAGGTATTAAAAATTGGCTATAGAGCTTCACAAGATATTAAAGAGACAACACAGCATCTTTGGAAAAAAAAAAAGAAGACATATCAGTTTGTCTTCATCCAACAGATACACAATATGGCCAAAAGTATGTGGACACCTCAGTCCACACTTGCATACTTTTAAGTATGTGGACACCTCAGTCCACACTTTGGTTCTTTTTAATGACCTTTTCATTTCATATGAAATCCTATTTACTATTGTCTATTTAGAGACTGTTGCCAGCCTAGTTACTTTTCACCCACCCTGTAGATTAAGGTACAGAAGGATTCTCAGATCCAAAGGACAGTAAACACTGGAGTTCAGCACAGCTGTGTGCTGTCACCTTATCCTCCCTTGCCAGCGGCCACATTTGTTAGTCAAATGAGGATCTGTCTTCTCGTCGATGGGGGTGATGAATAGAGTTTTACTCTTTCATGTGTGCTGCTCTGTTGAGGAATTACACTCTTGTGCATAAATCATTGTTTTATAGAGCAGCATGAAGTTTATTGTGTTGGACTCACTGACTGAGTGGAAGGTCACTGACTGCACAGGAGACTCTGGCTGCTAGGTTCTAATGGAGCACATAGTAGGTCGTCTCGAATTTGTCCTCTTGTACCAACAGTATGTGTGTGTGGGTGCAAATACTGTACATGGATCTATTTTTGGCTCAACTGGATGTATGAGGGAAACTGATGTTGTTACTTGGAAACATTGTTTCTACTTGCATGTGAAGGGCAGGTACCTTTCACAACTCTCTGTTCAGTCACCACTTTAAAAAAGTCTTTCCCTTGTTGGTTCATTGACTTTAATTTGGTGTCATTAACAAAGATTCAGAGTGGTGTTATGGAATGAGAAATAATTATCTCTTACAAAAAAAAACTGTTTTACTTCAATTATTTTAATACCAGTCAAAGTCATTTCTTGCTGATTTAGTTTGTAGATGGATGTGTGTGTGCACGAGACACCGGGCAGGCAGGAGAGACAGCAGAACTCACATGCACTAACGTTAAAAAGTTAAGTACACACATTTTGCAGGACTTCAGGCTGTGGCTCGGGGGTAAAGCGGTCATCTATTCGCAGTGCCTTCAATTTGAAGTGTCCTTGGGCAAGACACTGAACCCCAGGCTGCCCCTGATGGCCCTGCAGGGATGGC